GCCCGCCGCCCCCAGCCCCCGGCCGGCCCCGCCCCGCCCTCCCGGGCCCCTGGGGTAGCCATCCCTCAGACCCCTCCTGCCCCGGGCCGCGAGCCCGGCGCCCCTCACGGCCCCTCTGGGTCTCCCCGCAGGCGCTCGAACGGGAGCACACTTCGCAGAGACTTTTCCCCGACAAACTTCCAGAGTCTCTGGAGGACGGTGAGTTTCGGCCCGCCGCCCCCCCCCACCCGCTAAGGGCCCGGGTGGGACAGGGGACCACCGAGGACGGGGTTGGGGGGGCGGGGGGCCTGCCCCCACGGCAGCTAAAGGAGGCGGCAGAGCCGGGGCGGGGGGAGTGGGGGGCGGGTTTCCAGGGCGCCGCCGGGCTCGAGTCACTTCCGGTGCCCTGACCTTTATAGGAGTAAACAGACCCCCGCCATCTCTGCCTCCCCTCCTGCCCAGGTGACTGCCTAATCCCCAGTCTTGAGGAGAAAGCGTTGGTCCAGGTTCCTTGGCCCGGAGGGCGGGCTGGGGGTCAAGTAGGGGCCGCCGAGGGGAGGCCTGGACTCGGGGTCCTTCATCCGAACTGAGGCACCCCCAGCCCGTGCCTTCTCCGGCCACACACGTGAGCCGGACCCCTCGGCAATTCTTTCTCTGGAGAGCAGACTGCCTCCAGCCCGAGCCACCCGGTCGGGCGCATCTGACCCAGCTGTGGTTTTTCCAGGCCTGAAGGCCCCAGAGTGCGCCAGCGGCATGTACAAAGACACCGTCTACTCCGCCTTCAATCTGCTCATGCACTACCCGCCCCACTCGGGAGCAGGGCAGCACCCCCAGCCGCAGCCCCCGCTGGTAAGTGGCCCCGGCAGGCCTTGTGCCTGCTACCTCCTTGACCAGGTATGTGAGGCATGGGCAACAAGTGACTTTTGCCTAGAAGAAGATAGATAGGTGAGAACTGTGTTCTGGTGCCTTTTCCCTTACACACCCAGTGTGATCTGAACCGGGAGAACTTTGCAGAAGGAAGGAGAGAGACTGCCCTAGGCACCCCCCTTCCTCCAGCTGTTGGCTTTTGTCTTCCTAGCTTGCTCACAAGCAGGTGCAGGCCCTGTCCTGGTGCTAGGTAATGCCAGGGTAGAGTCTTTTCCCAGAATTTTTGAGCTGACACCATCCCCTCCCCTCCTGAGGGCAGTGTTGGTAGTGTGGTCTTAGCTGTGAGTTTTGCAGTTAGCCTTCTCCCCAAGCCTAAGAACCCAAGCCTGGGTGTTTGGAAGAATGGGCAGAAAGGGTAGTGTGTTTCAGAGCTCCTGGTTGTGCAGGAGAAACATGCTCTACTCACTCTATCCTTATTGGCATGAATGCCCCCTTGCTAGAGAAAGACCCTGAACGCTATGTGTAGAAAGTAGGTTTTTATGAGACTGGTTTGTTCTCATAAGCTCTGGGAGGTGGTTTCAAATCAATGGTGTGGGTAAGGGGCCCCTTTAATGATTTTGCTAATTACGTATGTTTAGGTGCTTCGAAAAGATTCCACGATCATTACAAACCATGCTTTTCTGCCTCATTGGTACAGATGATCTAAAGGTAAAGAGCCTATTCTGAGTGCATTGGAGCAGTACAGCTGCGCTTAAAAAAAATTGAGCTTAGTGTTTCAGACTGTCCTCAGCTGGCCTAAATCAAGGGTGAGATTAGAGCTCCTAGAGTACACGAAGTGTTTGGGGAACTCTGGTGGCTGCAAATGGAGGTCCAGTGCAGGAGGGGCCAGCAGGTAGGCGGCTCACATGGCTAGTTGGAGGATCACTCTGAGGGAGGAGGGTGACTGCCAGGCTGTTTCAGATCAGGAGGGAGGAGGGTTGGTTCTGAAAGCTGTTTTCACGCAGAAGCTGGTGGGAGGTGAGAAGGCAGATTGAGGCTTCTCTCTACAAACCCCAGAATGGAAAACTTGGTAAACTGTTGACTGCAGAAATGAGCTCCTTGCTGCTTGGACTCCCCATTTCCTCAGAGGCAGAAGGAGCATGTTGGTTGAGTGGTCTTTCTGCTCTAGGGTGGCTCCGTCTGTGAGGTGCTTGCTTCTTTCAAGTCTATGGGGACAGGGGGCTTGCCCTCTGACCTTGCCACCTGATGCAGCACCTCTCCCCAGAGACCTCCGCCCTGCATAAGCAGATGCTTAACGTAGATGCTTTTGGGTCCCTTACAACGTGTAACCCTTAGATTTGGGGCCAACTTGACATAATGCAGCGCTGCCAAACTGCTGGCAGGTGAGTTGCTTGCATAGGGTGCTGGGGTCACTGTGACAGCCTTGAGTAGACAAAAGGCCTAAGCCCAAGAACAGTCCTAGGAAGGCAGGCTCCCCTCCAGCCTCTTGTGATTCCACAGTGGTGCAGGGAAGAGGCGGGATTTCTGCGTTCCTTTCATGGCCTGGGCCAGTGGGAGAGTGCCCAGAGTGGGAGGGCCTCGTTCTCTTTCAGGGTGTGGTGATGAGACCATTTGGTGTCCTTAAGCTCACACTGATCAGAGTGTAGGCGACAGACAGCCAACTCCAACAGTCAGGATTGGGGGTGGGGGCTGAGGGCAGGCACACCATTATTCTCCTGGCCTGCGGTCATTTGTTTTTTCAACTTGGGCATCTTTCTCAAGCTATAGCAGAGGCTTTTCTCTATATCATACTCTCTCCTATAGACGTAAATCCCCTTGCCCTACTCCCCACCCAGCTGCAGCCTCCCACTGCCTGGCTTCTGGGAACATGGGAGGAGGAAGACAGGCTCTGGAGCTAATGTTCTGTGTGCTGGAACCAGCTGTTCTGTGGGGCTGGGGACAAGGACAGAGGCAAGGGCCTAAGTTGGGGTGACACCGGGTAAGGAAAATGTCCATGAATATAGGGGAGCCTCTTTTAAGCAAACCTGATAGTTCAAAATAAATAGCAAATCGGAGTAGTGGCTTGTGTTACCCAAAAAGTTGTGTGAACGTTTAAAATATTTGATTGACTCCATGTTTTGGGAGCATATGTATCAGAAAAGATACTCTTACAGTGGGTCAGGAGTCCATTGTAGGGCCCTGAGGAAAAACTGCCTTTGGAGGTTTCTTCCCAAGCTCTGCTTTCCTGAGCCCCTCTTCAGGGGACAGATGTCAGGCTGCCCAGCCCCTGCCCATGAGCCTTAGATTTAGGCCACCTGGCCCCCTTTGCCCTTTCTCAGAGAATCCAGGCAGTCAGCAGTTGTGCTGACAAGTTTTTAAGGCCAGTCGCTTAACCTCCCTAGACAGTGGGGAAAGCCCATGCCAAGGTATCCTCCACCCACACGTCGGTGGCATGCCCATGTGGCTACCATGTTGGATCCCTCAAAGCGGGCAGACTCAAACCTTGCCAGGGGCAATGGACCAAATGACTACCTCACAGCCAGCTGCCAGGGGGCAGAGGGAGATTTTTTTCCCTAAAGGCTTGCTTCTTTTTGGTACGTGCCTTCTTGTGAACTCTGTTTTGGGAAGGGAGAATTAGGTCAAAGTTTATTTCATGGCTGGTGTTTGTGAGGCATCTGATGTAGGCTTGTAGACTGTTCCTGGCTTCGACCAGTAGCCACTCCTTGTTTCTGTTTTGTTTGCTCTGTTCTGCTCTGAGATTGGGCGTGGGGGTGGGGATGGAAGGAGCAGTGAGCTCGTCCTGGGCCTGACTTTGAGGAAATTCTGGGATGAGTAAGGCATCGCTCCCTAGGGAAACTCAGGCTCCTGGATGGGTGAGACTTCCAGCCTGGTGCAAACCTTCTCAGAAAGGAGATGAGGCCCGGTTGCTCTTGTGGCCCCTTCTGTGGGCTCCACTCGGAGTCTATGGCCTGGAAGGCTGCTGAGTCTTTAGCCATTTCGATGAAATGTCCAGAATAAGCAAATCTATAGAGATGGAACATAGATGCGTGGTTGCCAGGGGCTGAGGGAAGACAGGAATGGGGAGTGATTGCTAATGGGTATGGGGTTTCTTTTTGGGGTGATGCATGTGTTCTGAAATTGGACAGTGGTGATGGGTACACAACCCTGTGAATATACTAAAGCCGCTGAACAGAATACTTTGAAACAGTAAATTTTATGATGTGCGAATTACATCTCAATTGAAAAAAAATAAAAAGGCTGAGCCTTTTGGCTCTTGCAGGGACTTGGGGCTGTTCCCCAGGCCTGATCTCCACAGCTGTCCCGTTGTATGTGCCTGCCCCAAGCTAGGGGCTCGGGCATCAGTTCCAGTGTGGGGGAGCCCAGTTGAGGCAGTGGACCCTTGCTTGGGTTCCAGGCCATTGAGCTCACATTCCCAGGTTCCAAGGTCTGAGGTCAGATGAGGGCTGTACTAACGAGCCCTGTGGGGAGCAGGAGGTGCAGGTATGAGCAAGACTTGAGCAGAGGAAGGAAGTGCTGCTGACACACGACCACCATGTCCAGGGAAGCTCTGCAGAGATGCACCCACCCAGCCCTCCATAGCCTCAGAGAGAGGGAGTGGCCGGGTCTTGCTGGGGACGGTTAGTGAGGGTTGATCACCAGCCCCGGTGGGAGTGAACCTTGTTAGGAGGGGTCTGGCACCAGGCTGGGCACAAGACAGATCACAACCAGCCTCTGCCTCTGGGAGTGCCTAGCTGAGTGGAGGAGACAGATGAACAGACTGGAACCAGGCCCTGGTTGGAGGAGTGCTGTCACAGAAGGCCCTGCTGGGGCGTCCTGGGTGGAGCTGGCCCCCACGTGGGCTGTGGGCCGTGGAGGAGGGTCTGCCGAGCAGCTTTCTGAAGATGCAGAGTCGGCCAGCTGATGAGCACAAAGAGTACCTGGGCTCCCCTCCAAACATGCCAGATCTCCCACTTCTCTACTTCAGTCTCCACCTAAAGCCCGGGCCACCACCATCCCTCACCCAGAAGACAGTAACGGCTGCCCCGGGCTCCCTCTACCTCAGCCTTGGCCCCCCTCTGAACCCCTGCCCTAACCCCCAATCTAGGCTCCACACACCAGCCCAGCCTCAATCAGATGAAACCCCGCAGTGACTTCCCATTGCTCTTGGAGTAAGGTCCAAACCGCTCACCACAGCCCTAGCGCCTGGGTGGCTGGCCCTGCTGACAGCCCCTCCTCACCTGTGCCATACTCTTCCTCTCTTCCTAAATAGCAGCTACTGCAGTGTCTCCATCTGTTTTACACCCGTCCTGTTCTTCTCCACCTCAGGACACTTGTTCCCTCAGTTTGGAATTCTCTTCCCCAGCTCTCCCAGAGCTGCTGCCGCCTTCTCATTCGTCATTCAGGGCTGAATTCAACTATCACTTCCCCAGAGACACCTCCTGTGAACATCCAAGTGGGGCCCTCTGTCATTCCCCCAGGCCTCTGCTGCCTCACCCACCTTGGTTCTCCAGGCCGCAGTGGGTGGCCCTGCTTTACGATGCACTCGCTGTACTGAGACCAAAGGCAGCCCATCTGTCAAAAGTATCTCTCTACCTTAGTGTCCTCATTTGCACAGTGGGAGTGGTGAGCCCTCCTCCCAGAGTTGGAGTGTGGACTGGAGGCAGCAGTGCCAGGGAGGTGCCCAGAAAGGTGCCAGTGTGCCCTGGGCTCGGGAGGTTGGGGTTTGGCCATAATTGATCCCTTCTCCCTTGCTCTCCTGGCTCGTCTGGGACTAGTGGTGGCTCAGTGGCAGGCCCCACATAGACTCCCATCTGGAAGGTTGTATCTCTACTTTGGGCCACAGGGGTCTGGGGGTCTGAACCCTGGGGGCTAGCTCTGGGACAGGTGTACAGGCCCCCCCCTTTTTTTAAAGCTTTATTTATTCTGAGAGAGAGAGAGAGAGAG